CTCGAGCCTGAATGAAGATGACCAATTCCTCATACGAAAACTTGGGCAACTCTGCTCCAACTACCACTTCACCCATCTCCTCCTGGTAGGTGCGACGCCTCAACCCTGAAGATGACCAATTCCTCATACGAAAACTTGGGCAACTCTGCTCCAACTACCACTTCACCCATCTCCTCCTGGTAGGTGACTTCGACGCCTCAAATGCTTCCTAGACGGAGATCCGGCGCGTCGGATCAAGCGGACTTTTTGCAGCGTCGCTGATTGAAGTCACTCAACAGAGCGCTGGATCTCAAGTTTTCTTTGCACCCACCAGACACCGCGTAGGCCCACTACCATCCCCGCTGGACTTGTTCATGACCAACCAAAGGCACTTCGTTATCCAGGTAATATGCAACGCTCCACTGGGAGGTGGCAACCAACGCGTGTTGACCTTCGATTTTATGTGCTATTGAGCCAGAATCCCAAACCTCAAATGGGGTTTCGAGACTTCTGCCGTGCAGACTTCTCGGGAATGCGCATCTTTCTTGAACATGTAACACTGGGACCAGGTTCAGTGAAGAACTATATATGACTATTGTCCAGAGAGTTCACGTGGCTGACGCGACTTTCGTCCCAAAAAACCACCACGCACTCGGTTGGGCCGCAGGCTACCCAAAAGTATTCGGCGACTTCTGGAAAAAAGATCCCAACGCTTTCTCAAAAAGTTGACCACAGGGGACACAGAAGATGAGCTGGCATTTCGTAAAATGCGGAATCGCTGTAAATCAGAAATCCGCCAATGGAACATACGAAAACAAGCCACCATTCCGGACCTCGCTCGAAAAAACAAAAACGTATTGTTCAAATACATGAGACATCGCCGCAGAAACAAGCGTGTCTATACTCAGCCCCAGCGTCTTCGTCACACCCACTCTTGTCGAGGCGGAACTACGAACAGCCTCTAACCGACTTGGTCTTCACGGTGGAGGACATTCATCAACTCTTGCGCAAGATCAACCCATTTTGCGCGTTGGGTCCCGACAAGCTCCATCCAAGGATCCTGAAAGAAACGTCTTCCACACTGGTAAATTATCTACACCTAGTGTTTCGCCAGTCACTTGACGAAGGTCGCCTTCCCACTGCTTGGAAGGAAGCGATTGTCACGTCAATCAACAAAACTGTTGACCGACTGTCGCCTGGCAGCTACAATCCTATAAGCTTCACTAGTGCGCCATGCAGGGTGATGGAACGCAATCTGAAGCGAGCAATCCTAGATCACCTTACTTCCAGCAATCTGATATCTCCAGCTCAACTCTTTCGTAACAAACATGCTCGTGTTTACGGACATCTTAACCCAAGCCAAGGACGAAGGACTCATATCGGCTGCCATATTTTGCGACTTCTCAAAAGCATTTGATAGGGTCCTACACGTCCCACTGCTCCACAAACTCGAGTCTTACGGGATTCAAGGGAAAACCCTTCGCCGAATCAAGGCGTTTCTATCAGACAGATAATTCCGAGTGAGAATAGGCTCGACCTACACCTCTCCATCGCCAGTCTCCATTGGGTTTCCACAAGGCTCCGTCCTGGGACCAGTGCTGTTTCTGATCCGCGTCAACGACCTCCCAGATGTTCTTGCACGTCCATGTCCACTCTTTGTGGACGACCTGAAGTCCCGGAATTCCAATGCCAGTGCCCTCCAAATGGATGTAGACCCTGCAAAGCAGCGGTTGTTGGACTGACACCTTCCTCTGAATGAAAAAGTGCGTCCATATGTCATTTGGAGGAGACTCAGCGAATGCCTTTGTTATGCATGGCGAGAAAGGACCATAAAACACCATGAGGATAGACGCCAAAAAGGATTTGGGCGTCTGGACCTCCTCGAACTTGTCCTTCTCACTGCACCATGAGAAATCGGCCCGAAAGGCATTCGCCATTTTACGGATGGTCCGACGCACCTTCTCCCGTATCACTCGCATGGACTTCCAAATGCTCTCTGGGGCCTATATCAGACCGCTCCTGGAATACTCCAACCAATTTGTCTACGCAGGAGGCACGGAGGACATCGCCCTCATTGAGCGTGTCCAGTCAGCCTCTACGAGAATGGTTGCCGTCCTCAAATCCGTGCACTACAGAACGCGTCTTGCGATGCTTGATCTCTTTCCCCTGGAGTACAGTCGCCTCCGAGGGGACCTAATTCTTACTTATGCCCTGTTTGAACAAAGCTTGGTGAACAGGTTTTTCACCGTTAACCCAGCAAACACGGCGGGGATATAGTAAGAAGATTTTCAAGCTCAGAGCGTCCACAGTCATTAGGCAGAATTTTTTCTCATCTCGATGCGTGGGATGACATTCCTTCAACGGTTGTTCACGCTCCTTCTAGAACCCAGTTTAAAGCACTATTAGACACTTACTTATGCGAATCCTCGCACTGGCAAGCATACTGCTCCGCGCTGAGAACATAAAGAGCACTGCTACATTCTTTTTTCACTTGTGCCTTTCAGGCGAACGATATCCACTGACCGAAAAAAACAACAGTGACCCGGAAAACTTGGGAAAAAGCCTCGATTCCGCGTATCAAGGCGGGATTCCGTATCATATTGGGCCTCTTCTGCCATTTGAACTGAACTCACATCCCAAGGACAAACAGCCATCCGGCCGCGTGTTGCGTATTTCTCACGCTCTTCGAATGGCCATGGAACCTCCATGCAGTCCGCCTGGCCGGATGAGCATACCGAGCCCTATTCTACACAGACGAAATAGGACGAAGTCTCAGTCCGAAACTGCTGCCTCTGCAGAGCTTGGAAGGGGTACGGTAGTAGAATTCTGTCGCGAGAGGGGCCATGGTTTTATTAAGCCTGATGGCGATGGCGACTCTATATTTCTTCATGTTTACGAGTAAGTAACCGTTCTTCTCTGTATAGTACGTAGTATTGAAGGCGAAGTCATTCCGAACCATGGTGACATCGTGGAATACCGCAAAATGCTGATACCACCCAAAAATGAAAAATATCAAGCGGTCCACGTGAAAATTGTGAACTTTGCGCCGGGTAGACACAGAACATGGAATGACCCACCTTCAAGCTCTTGATCCGACGAGAATGGCGCCGCGTGCTATAAATTACTTCTCCGGGATTCCTTAAATATGTTACATGTATTGTTACTCTCTATGGGTGATGTAAATATACCTGCCCACATTCCATCATAAATGCTTCCAACCGCTCCATCAGTGCATAATATTCTATATTTTTGCACAATAGAGTGAGGGATATCCATAGAAGACTCATTTTCAAAGACTGGTTTTGTTAAATCCGAATTTGCTTGCAAAACGTGGTGGTCGGAACAGCACGTACCCAGTGAACGTCAGTATACTGTCCGTAGGCTTATGCAACCACAGGTTTTTCGTGTGATTGCGTCATCATAGACATCGACCGGAGTAACCTGCACTACCACTCCCACTATTCCAATGTCAATCAATCGATTTGACTGACTGGCATGTAAAGTCTGGCCAAACGGATTCAGTGGAGGCATACAGGTTGAAGGACAGTCACCCCTGTAGTCAACAACCTTCGTTAACATTGGTAAGCACAGGTAGATGAGCGAGATTTATTGAAATGGACGATTGCAGAAGTGGGTACATTGGTTACGATCCTGAATCGGTTGGCGGACGTCACTCGGGGGGAGGAGGGCTTAAATCGTTCGAGCCGCCATCTGTTCCGACTTTTCCGCCCCACTGTGAATTTCGCACCTAGCAGCCGCTGAGTTCGGATTTATCTGTTTGCAACCGCAACCTGGCACAACTGCCGTGTTGGGCTTTACGCCTCAACCAATACGCATGTTTTTTCAATCTACGAATAACGTAAATATATCTGTCCACATTGGAGTCAAAAGCATTCTGTCCGACTACGGATTTCCAGTTGCTCCGTTCAATGCGTGGAGTAGTTACGGTAGATTTTCTGGCCACAAACCGACAAGCAACCACAAGCAGACGTCAGAGAAGCAAGTCTCCAGTGATGCTATTACTTTATATTTATTAGCTGCCAGAGAATTCCGAAATCTATCTCTTCCGCTGGCAATTCGAACATTGGCCAGTATTCAGAGGTGGTTTGGTCGATCTGCATATTAAGCTTGGTCAAGCCAGTATTGGTTCTGAGTGGGAGAAAAAGGTCTTTCTTGTGGCCACAACTGTCGATTGTGGATAAGTTCGGGTCGCACTATTAGCGCGTCCCAGAGCCGGTGTTGGCGTTTGCGAAGGTCGAAACATATTGAACAGGCAGCCTACGTGCGGTTTCAACTTCAACCTGAACCAGATCATTTGCTGGCACTCGTCTAGGTCTTATTGAGCCCATTATCTCGAAGTTAACTTGATCAACTAATTAAGGAACGTTGAAGTTATTAGTGCGCGAATAAAGACTCGCTACTGAATTCTAGTTCATGCTTAGTGTGTACCTGACATCGAACGGGTTCGACTCGCCAGCCGCTTACACATCCTTAATAACTTGAGCTGCTGAATGTCGTGCAACTTGAACTTACATCTTTATACTGCGCATCTATTTCGTTTCGCGTCAGACACGGTCGGAGGCTTTAATGGGAAATGTTAACCTTAGTCTGGTGAACCTGGCCTACTGAGCTGTGTTGAGAATTGCCCGTGCGACATTGGCAAGTTTGTCGGTTATCGGATTTCTGATTAGCAATCTCTTGGCGTCAGTTCGTGAATTGGAACATCTTCGACCACTTTTTTCGGAATGGTGAATATCTCTGGTAGCCCATCACTGACCGGGGTCCGGCTTTTGGGCCTGACATTATCTCAGCCGTCATACCACCATTAATTCAAAAAACCACAAGCACCTAATTGGCACATACTGTCATTGCTTTATGGCACCTTTCTCCCGAGGAAGAAGAGTATATCGAACTCCTGCTGCCTGTGAAACGCGGTCAACAACAATGACCCCCAGAACTACAACCTCAGCCATCACGTGATGACATCAGCTGGGAAATCGTTCAGTCGACATCGTTCAGTTCTGCCACCCTTTCGGTGCCTAGCTGCCGAAGGAAACACGAGGGCTGGGATACTGCCGGGTCGCCCAAGCATAGACAGGGGAAGTTGAGAGGCGGAGGTCGGTTTCGAACCACGGGCCTTTTGGTCAGTAAATTCGTGCTCTAACCACAGCCATCCCACCCCACATCAACTGGGGCACCAGCGCAGACTGCTGCCGACTTCTCTCCTGTGGCTTCACATATTTCTTCGCTATCCAGTCTTGCTGACAGCTTATTGGCCAAAATAATAGTAATCATGCACCTGTTCGCCTTGCATCAACAACGCTTTTTCACCATGACCCTTGAAATGTCGACTTAAAGCTTCCAGCTCACAAACTCGGTAATTCATCTTTCATGGATGTTCACACGCCGGTGCAAACATCAGCAAACTGGATTCTCTCTGCATCGGCACAAACTATCTGTAGATAACGCGAATTTAGGAATTGAGTGCTATGTTCGAGATGAGTACCCCTGTCACTCCGGTCTATCTTTTGGTGGCGCATCTCTCGGAACCCACAGAAGGCTTTTGCATTACACATGGGTGTCTGTATTGTTAAACTGCCAAAAACATGACGTTTTGCTTGGTAATACCCATGAAAATCGAGAACTCCATTGCTGTGAATTGTACCCTTAGGTGCTCCCCCAAAGACAGTATGGTCACCAGTGACAACAACGTATACCGCCGTCGGAACTAGACTAGGTAGTTTTTGGGTACTAGATACGAGGTGTGTACATTGGAATGCCTATTTCAGATCAGTATAGATAATCTGGCCGCATACTGTCCACCGCCGTCACGAATTTGCTGAACTTGATCTAGTTGTCACGGTTTGTACACCCCCTAACCTACTGAGCTCTATTGGGGAGTGTACGTGCGACACTAGGCGATACCAGGTCGGTCAGTGGGCCAAGGTCTGACTAACATCCATCTTGTCTTCCTGCGTGGGGTTCTGACTTTTTTGTGACGGCTCGTTCCTTGAACATTCAGGCTGCTCTGATGGTTCCATTCCAGCCACAACCGCCTTGCGGTTACGCTTTTCAGCCAGGGGCTTTGATGGAGGACCCTATTCGTCCTGTCTACGTTTAGACGCGAGATGGTTCAGTGGTGAGGGCGCGAATTTACTGACCGGAAGGTCCGTGGTTCGAGCCTTACCTCTGTCTCTTGACTTCTAAGGCGATCTGGCAGTATCCCAGCCCTCGTGCTTCCCTCTGGTGGCATGGCAGTTAGGCACCGGAAAGATGCTGCAGCTGAACAATTTTTTTTGGACATCGTGGCGCTGTCTCAGCTCGTGTAAACAATGAATTGTACACAGTTGATCTCATGCTATGCCGGCCGTCGACTAGTACCATCAGCCCGGTCGCCTTACTTGCTGCATGCAGGAGGGTGGCTTAGCAAAAGCAGACTACTACTGATGCGTCTTTTCCCGCACATACTCTTCCTTCCTCTCATCTTGGCGCTTCTAGCGATGTCTCCATGAGTTCGCTCTTAAGGGTTGTCAAATTTGGAGGATGTTTGTGACCGGTTGAGTAGTCATCGTTTCTGAGAGATTCGGTGGGTTTATTGCTGGATCAGAAACCTCGGAAACGTGTGACGGATCTTTTCGCTGACCGTTACCACTAGCTGCAATGCCGACGCTCGACTCGGCCGGTACGGCCACAGATACTTGAACCATTCTTCAACCCCCGACGTTTAGTTCGTATGGTAGCCTTTGACGTTCCTACCCCAAAACGTTCTGGACAACAGACCGCTCCTGCAGGTACGCTGGTTCGCTTTCTACTGTGGGCTGTCTCTTCGAAACGAGGATTGAAGATCCAAGCATGGTTGTTGAACTGACCCCGTTGGTGTACGCTCGCTTTGAATGTGCAACTCTTATGATCCAGAAGCCACTGCTGCTGGTTCAGCTGGGGTTGGTGTTCTAGGCTATCGAGCTGAAGGGTTTCTGATAGAATGACAATCCGCCGATAGTCGCCTTTGTGCTGTTTGTTTGGTAACATCTGTGAGAGTATTCTTTAAATGTGCCGATAATTGCTGCGTCATATCTGGTTGCGCCCCAACAGACTGCACCTCTACTACACACAAAGACATGCTGTGCGACACTCTGAGCGCCTTGTGGCGACCTAAGAGGTCGGATATTGTTGTGATTGTCGGGGATATGAATGCGCAAATATGTAGACCATTTGCTGCTCAGGCTCACTTGGGTGGCCGTCTAGGACGAATCGAAACTCGCGGATAACGATGAACACCTCTTACTCTCCGCAAAACTGCATAATACCCAGCGCTCCACCCGCTGATTGGTTCAATCAACTAAGCAGTGGATCTCGAGCAACACTAAGATTGCTCGGTTAATAAGAGCATCTGGACGGATCTAGAAGGTTGGTGGATCCAGAAATCTGGGAAGATGGAAGAGGCAAAGAACTCTGGGAATGTACATGAACTCTCCCAGGTGATGCGTACAACGGGTCCAAAGATGCTTTCAGTGAACGAAACTGGTAACAGTGGCTCGGTTATCTGTAGAGAGGAGCGCTTGAATTGTTGGGCTAAACACTTTCGAGATCAATTCAACTGGTCACCATTTAGTTCTTTCCAACATACTTGCGCAGTAGGGTTCTTAAGTTCTTAAATATCATGTACTGTTTGTGCTCAGTTGTGGGTGTGCGAAAGTGTATGGGGAGGTGCAACTAAAGACGGTTATGGCCCATGTCAGCAAGTGTTACTAGCCCAGCATTATTGTTGCTTCTGAAAGCCGAACTGGAGAGGCGCAAGGAACCAACCTGCAAGTCTAGAGCATATTGAATTGGTCTGGCTAAGCCTTCGTATCCAAAGCTGGTCGTGGAATAACAAGTTCACCGATAGTCCACTAAGCTTTTCTGACCCGATACCTGCGCTCTCTTTGTCGTTTTGCCACGCCCCCCGAAACCTTGACCCGTGAACACAAGCAGGACGTCGACCGGGTAGAGCACTTCACCCTACCTCAGGTGCTAGAGCAGCGCCATATGTACACATGACCAAGTCTTAGTTTTCCTTGACTTCAAGAGTGTGTTCGATTCTGTCGACCC